TTGTTAAAATACAGAATCCTGTACCCACAGTTTCTGCTTAATTATTATTTCTGAGCTTTAGCTCAGAAATCACTACTGTACTACTATTTAGTTCTCTTCTTTTTTTTCTGACATAGTTTTCTAAAGCTATAAGTTATAGTCCCTACTCTTGGTTGTAAATAATGTGCAAAAGAATACCTTAGCACTCTAGGTAAAAGACCTAGAATGAAATTAGTTGTCTTATTGCTAAAACCTTTGCATAAAACTGAATTGTATTCTGGCTAAAATACTTAAAGGAGCATTTTGTACCTGGTGCTTTATGTTTTCTAAAAATGCTTATTGTTAATGTATTTTATTAAATTAATCATTTCTACAGGTGACGGGCCACAGTGTAGAGATTATGTCATAAGTCTTGGAGTTGTGAAACCTTTACTTTCATTCATAAGTCCATCTATTCCTATAACATTCTTAAGAAATGTTACGTGGGTTATGGTCAACTTATGTCGTCACAAAGACCCACCACCACCAATGGAAACCATTCAAGAGGTAAACAAATTTTTAAAATCAATAAGTAAATTAGATACTATTATGTGTATGTTTTTATTTGTTTTTAAATCTGTGTATTCTCTCCTCAGATTCTTCCAGCCCTTTGTGTTTTAATACATCACACAGATGTAAACGTGAGTAAATGTTCCTCATCATATATTTTTTTACATGTATATATGTGTATATGTGCATGTTGTATATGTAGGGCTCCCCATGTGACGTAGAGTAAAAAATATATCAAGATCATGATAGTTTATTCTCTGTCAGATTTTAGTATTCCAAAACCTACAAGCATATCTGGTATCTTTATATTTACTGTTTTTCCTGTGTCACAAAATATAATTTCAGTGAAGAAATAGAGCCTATTATAAAGTTGGTACTTAGTAATCACTCTCACTAAGATCATGTTTTATATTTATGCACTTTTTATGGAATCTCATTTTGGCAGTCTAGCTATTGAATGCATATGGTGGTTTTTTTTTGTTTTTGTTTTTGAAAGATAAAGAGAAATATTGGTGCTCACATGCTTGAATTTTTTTTATTTTTTGGTACCAGGGACAGAACCCAGGGGTGCTTAACCACTGAGCCATATCCCTAGCAGGTGCCGCCAGCCCCCACACCTCCCAACACACTTTTTTTGGGGGGGTATTGGTTTTGCTAAATGCTTATGACCTCTTAAGTTGCTGAGGCTGGCTTTAAACTTGGTGTCCTCCTGCCTCAGTCTCCTAAATCATTAAGATTATAGGAGTATGCCATTGTGCCTGGCTTATATGCATGAATTTGTATCCATATGTACACACCAAACTATGAAAATCAGTTGCTCTTAATTCTGTTTTTACTTTGTTTCTCCAGTTATAGTGACTTTTAGCTTCAGTTAGTATAGGGAGAACTGTTGGTTGTCCAACTAACAAGGGGAAAAAAGGCAGTACAGGCAAGATAAAATCTTTGTAATGTTAAAAACATTACAAAAATATCTTGCTTATTCTTACTAACACAAATAAAAAAGGAAAAAACAATGCAGGGAATATAAATAAAGTGGAAAACTGCCGTTACTGCTTATAAAAGCCAGACTAGCCTTTGGTGTGTTAAACCAAGAATGTGTGCTAGGGGTATAACTCTGTGGTAGGTTCAATCCCCAGCAGAAAAAAAGAAAACACACACACACCCATACAAGCAATATAATAAGTAAGGAAAAACACATGAGTATATAGTGACAATCAGGAATTTTTTAAAAATAGTCGGCACAAAGTTGCATGTCTATAATCCTGGTGACAAGGGAGGCTGAGGCAGGAGGATCACAAGTTTGAGAATAGCCTTAGCAACTTAGCAAGACTCTGTCTCAAAAAAAGAAGGAGAGAAAGAAATACAAAGAACTAAGGGTGTAATTCGGCGGTAAAGTAAGTGCCCCTAGGCTCAATCTCGGATATTATCACCAAAAAAAAAGTTCAGCAGCTGAGTTTAGTGGTGCAAACTTATAGTTTTCAGTCACTAGGGAAACTGAGGTATGAGGATAATAGACTCTAGGAATTTGAGGCCTACCTGGGCAACATAGCAAGACCCTCTCTTTCAAAAAAAAAAAAAGAAAAAGATAAACATTTGATATGGTGACCAGTTTTAAGCTGCTGCCCAGTTTCTAGGGATATATTTCTCTAAAGTACATAAAGCAAATTAAAGATAGAATATACTATGTCAAACAATGATATAATTTACAAAATTCATAGGTAAACATGATCTCTAAAAAAAATTTTTTTAAGCTCCAGATAGTCTAGGACTTAAAATATATATATGCAATTTTTGGTTTTGGCTCCTTATAGCGAAGATTTTGGTTAAATTACAAATTTCAGTATTTTGTTTTTGAAAGATTCACAGGGAAGATTAATCTCCAAGTTTATATCTTTTTTGGAAAACCAGGCATTTTACTTGACTTTACTTAGCAGTATATTTTGTTCTTTCTACCTATTCACTTCAATCTAGATGAGGTTGTACTTCCATTTTTCTTATTTTTGATGTATCTTGGAGGAATTAGTTTGCATTGTTCTTCTTATAATGTAGTGTACTAAATATTGTTTTACTAAAAATAAAATCTTGGGGCTGGGGATGTGGCTCAAGCGGTAGCGCGCTCACCTGGCATGCGTGCGGCCCGGGTTCGATCCTCAGCACCACATACCAACAAAGATGTTGTGTCCGCCGAGAACTAAAAAATAAATATTAAAATTCTTTAAAAAAAATAAATAAAATAAAATAAAATAAAATCTTAAATAAGTTAAACAGTAAATTCTTAAATTATGCCATCAAAGATGTTATAAAAACTGCTTTCACAAACAGTGCCATTACACTGACATTACGCTGTAGTTACAGTTAGAGAACTTATAGTAGAATGTAAACTTTGATACAAAAAAAAATATGCTGGAGGGCAGGGGTTGTGGCTCAGTGGCAGAGCGCTTGCCTTGCACGTGTGAGGTTCTGGGTTCGATCTTTAGCACCACAAACAAAATATTGTGTCCATGTATAACTATTTTTATTAAAATTTTAAAAATATGTTAGAGATCTAGTTTGAATTGGGTTGTAAGTTGGATCCGAGCATATCAATGACATGTTTARCATTAGACTTTTAAAAAGGGAAGGATGCCAGGTTTTTATGTGCAGTCATGAGCAAGTAACTTGAAATTTTKGGCCTGTATTAACAGATTCTGTTAACGCTACAGGAAAAGAAATAGTTCCATTTGAAAATTAAAATAGTTGTTTCACATATATTGATACTAGTATATTTGAGTTATTTTCATGTCTTCTTTTACATTGAAACACATCCTTAAGCATTTTCTTGAGTTTCYGAAAGAATAATGACAAAGTGCTGTTGTCTCCTTTTAGGGGTTCCTTGATTGTCTTAAAGTATAACATTTGTTTGTAATCTTAAAAGTTTTAAACTTCTGGCTTATCCTTTGATACAGTGTTCACATTCAAGAAAGATTTTGGAAGTAAAGTTCCAGGCACAGTTATCTTTCCTGTGGTTTCTTTATTTTTCTTACTTTTTTGGTCAATAATTGTATTTATATGCAGCAGTTAAATAGTTGTAATACTACTCTTTGGCCATAATTTCTAATTGGTACTTAACACCCAAAGAAAGATCAAACATGACCTGCTGCACTTCAGAATATACTCGCTAAAAATTTGTAGGCCATTTTTTATTGTTTTAAGTAGCAGCTGGTGTAAAGTTTTTTTGTTTGTTTGTTTGTTTGTTTGTTTTGCTTGCTTGTTGTTTTAATGTTTTGATCTGTAGCTTTGGGGTCTTTCTTGTATTTAGGAAGTTGCCTCCAGTTTTATAAGGCAATGCAAACTAGTTGGAGAAGATTAAACTGCTATTAAACTAATACCACTATAAACTAATACTAATATTGTCTTTAAGTATACCTGTATGGTATATCCATATAGTATAGATGTTTAAACCATTGTGCATGTTGGATACCTATAGTCTTTCTAACTATATACATAAGCTACAATATTTGTGGGCCTGTTATCCCTTAGCCTGAGCATTTGAGAAAGAAAATTATTTTTTTTCCTATTTCATGTGCTATGTAGTACATATATAGGTTGGTGAATTAAAAATAGATATTGGCATGGATTTGCTACCGTAATTAACCTACACTTCTGAATTTGGCTAAATGATGCACAATAAAGATTCTAATAAATTATGGTAAGAGAAGAAAATAGTAGAACAATCTTAGGAGTATGGGTAAAAATTACTGCAATGAGAAAATATTCAAAGATTATTGGAACTTTTATTTTATTTATTAGATATTGGTAGATACGGTCTGGGCCCTCTCTTATCTTACTGATGCTGGCAATGAACAGATACAGATGGTAATAGACTCTGGAATAGTTCCTCACTTGGTTCCTCTACTCAGCCACCAGGAAGTTAAAGTTCAGGTAAGTTTGTTCTTGATAAAATCATGTTTTCTTACCATTAGTTACTTTAAACATGGCATTCAAAGATAAACATATCTTTTTACATTTCAGACAGCTGCACTTAGAGCAGTGGGCAACATTGTTACTGGAACTGATGAACAAACACAAGTAGTTTTGAACTGTGATGCCCTCTCACACTTTCCAGCACTCCTGACACATCCCAAAGAGAAAATTAATAAAGTAAGTATTTTAAAATAGTATTAAACTAGTAGTTTTCATTTATATAATTTGGGTCCCAGAAGTATCTGTAATGTTATTAATTTAAACTGTCATGTATGTATCAAGAGAAAGTATATCACTCTTTAGAAACACAAATTGGTATATAATTTTTACATATATAAAACAAACAAGTTGCAAAGTGTTTTTCTTTCCTTTTTTCTTTTTTTTTTTTGTTCTCTTTTTCTTCTTTGGTGCTGAGGGTTAAACCCTGCGCCTCACATGATCTGCTCATAAGCATGTGCTTCACCTCTGAGCTACACCCACATTTACACTGTGGAGTTTTTTGGCTCTTTTGGAAATGATGAAATGGAGATACTTGGGTGTTGAATGTTGTATGACTGAAAATTTTTAATATATTAATTCTAGATTAGTATTTTATGGTAGTTAATTGTTTGTGTGTGTGTGTGTGTGTGTGTATGTGTGTGTTTTGGGCTATGGAAAGGGGGCACTGAATGGTGATGCTGATATTGGAGTGCATCTGAGGCTGTTGTAGAAATAATAGGGGTGTTGATTTACAACATTGCCAATGATTATAACCCCAAAGCAGCTCACCTAACTAGCCCAGCACCCTAAAATCTCTTAACAGGTTCATTAAACATGGTCCTGTAATCTGATCCAAAAGAGCCTATTGTATAGTAGTCAGTGCTAATATGTTTTAACAGTTTGTAGGAATAGAGAAAATGTTTCCCTTTAAAAAATAGGTAAGTTTAATAAATTTAAGTTAGGAAAATTCTGATAATATCCTACATAGCATATAGGTAGATATTTTATCTTATTTCATGCCAACTGTGGCTTTGGTAATTGCATTTATTATCTTTGAAACTTTAAAACACTTTGGAATGACCATCACCTTTACAAAAGTATAGCACCATTGTAATATAAAAGATAACATTACAAGATCATTAAGGTAGACCCATAAAGTAGTCAAGCATCTGGGTCCACTTCAGCTTTTCAGAGAAATGGTGCAAATGAATGAGTATTATAAAATATACTAAAACAGCCCACTGTTTTATTTCTGATGCTCCATTGTTATGAATAGTTGATATTTACCTACTTTGGTTAGGAGTCTAAGGGTAGAATGGACAATAAAGCTTATTACAGGAGAGAAGGCTATTGAATGTCATTTATAAAAGTTTTAGTTTTGAATTTGAATTTCTTTTACAGCTTATTGTTTTTTGGGTATTTATCCAACCAAGCAAGCTTCTTTGGAGTCATACTCTTTGGGAGCATTGTCATTGAGAATTCTTTAGAAGGGTTATTAGTTCATTGTGATTTGGATTAGGGGCCATTAGCTATTTGTTCAAAGAATATATGGAAAGGGGGAAGAATTGAAATTCCCAAGATTTTTATTATGGAGTTTACTCAGTAGTAAAATCATTTGGACACAATACAAATGCTTTTTTTCTTAGTTGAGATACAGATTTTATATTTTAATGAGAAATATTGAAAGGGTCTTCTTCTACAGGAAGCAGTGTGGTTCCTCTCTAACATCACTGCAGGAAATCAACAGCAGGTACAGGCAGTAATTGATGCCAGTCTTGTACCAATGATAATACACCTTTTGGATAAGGTAAGAAGATCATATTGTACTTATCTAAATAAGGGGAAAGGATTTTACATATATATAATATATATAGTCTGCTTTATTTTTTATTTATTTATTTTTGCATTGCAATTCTTAATACACCTTTATACCACAATTTATCATATCTCTGATTGTATATAAGGTATGTTAACACCAAATTCACATCTTCATACATGTATTCTGTATAATGATGAGGGTCTCCTTCCACCATCTATGCTATTCCCCTTCTCTCTTCCTTTCCCTCCTACCCCTATTCCCTATCCAGAGGTAATCTTCCTTTTTTTTTTTTTTTTTAACTTGTTTGTTTTATGATGCTGGGGATCAAACCAGAGCCTCACACATTAGGCAGGTGCTCTACCACTAAGACATACCTCCAGTCCCTAAATATATACTTTTTTTCTTTGTTTATTTGATTAGATCCTATAGTGATGCTAATATTACAGGTAAAATAGTGTTCGTATTGAAGCTTTTGAATCCAGCAGTTTTTAATATGATTCATTTCTTCTTGGAAACCTCTGGCCCTTCTGTATTTTTTCTTCCCAAAAAAGTTAGGTATTCACCCTAATAATGAAGGACCTGTGGTATAAAATGCCCAGAATTAAATAGCAAGTAAGTGTGATATTGTTATCATCTCATGTTCATATTAATATTTGGGGAAAACAGAATTTACAATTATAGAATCACAGCATGAGAGTTTTTGTCTGATCACTAATTAAACAAAGTGTTAATTCTATAATTAAAATGAAGATACATCTGTCTATGTATATGACCTGGTATAATCAGCTTACTCTAAGCTTACTTGTGACATTATTCATGAGTCTTTCTCCTAATGATTTTTAGGTAGTTATTGATCATCATTGCCTGGAATCCCCTATTTTACTAGGAGTTGCAAAATGGTGGCTTTCTAATTTTGTCAAAGAATATATTAGCCATGATTCTTCAGTAGTGAAGAACTTTTATCACTCCAAAATATAGTCTGTATGGGAAAAGCACGATAAATGCTTAATGCTTAATTCTTTTTTCCTATCAGTCATTTTTTACACATGGTTCCCTAAAACCTCAAAAGGAGACCAGAGTGAAAATTTTATGATCATTAGGAAATTGAGTTCTTATTTTATAAGTTTTAGTCCATTTTAAATGTTATTCCTTTTGACACCCAAGTTATCCCTGGCCATTTAGAACTTTATCTTAAAGTTAGTACCTGTCTCTTAAATACTCTACCTTTTAGATATGATTCCTAGGATTATCTTTTGCATTTTCTGACCTGGATCTAGAATAAGCTATTCCTCCAGGATGCCTTGATTCTTCCGACATAAAGATGAGTATTTTTACAAGGATGTCATTCTTTTTTTTTTGTACCAGGGGCGGGGGGATTGAACTCAGGGGCACTCAATCACTGAGCCACATCCCTAACCTTTATTGTATTTTATTTAGAGACAGGGTCTCCCTGAGTTGCTTAACACCTCAGTTTAGCTGAGGCTAACTATGAACTAACTATCCTCCTGTCTCAGCCTCCCTAGCCATTGAGATTACAGGCATGTGCCACTGAGCCTGGCAAGGGTGTAATTTTTTTCGGCTTCAGAAAATAAATAAGTGAGAGGTATTTTTGTATTCATGTTATAAGGTGTAAAAAATGACTGATAGGAAAAAAGAATTAAGCATTAAGGATTTATCGTGCTTTTCCCATACAGACTATATTTTGGAGTGAGCAATAGGTAATATTTTTGACAGATGAGTTGATGATCATGAGAGCTTTTTTAGCAAGTTATGTATTCATTGATTTATTGGTATATTATAATTACACATACTAATGGGATTCATTGTGACATATTCCTACATGCATATGATATAATTTGGTCAGTTTCATTTCCCAGTTCTTCCCCTTTCCCTTACCATCTCCTTCTCCCTGGTCCACTTCCTCTACTCAACTGGTTTCCCTTCCTCTCCCTTCCATTATAAGAATTCATTTTTGAGGTGGGGGAAGGGACTGAGGATTGAACCCAGGTGTGCTTTACCATTGAGTCTCATTCCCAGTCTTTTTTATTTTTTTATTTTGAGACAGGGTCTTAATAAGTTGTTTAGGGTCTTGTTAATTCTCCCAAATGTGACAATTCTGAAGAAATGAATCATGAAAGGAAGCTATCAAATATTATAGGGTTGTCTTTTATATATAGTACAGTTATACATATTTTGAGGCATACCATTGATGGCATATATCTTATGGATAAAAAATTGTTTTCAGCCTAAGGAAGAGATGTAAATATATGTAAAAATATATTTATAGTATCAAAATAACAAGTCACATTGCCATAAACAACATGACTACTGAGGGTTGACTACTGAATGTACTTTTGGGTCAGGGGATATAGGAGATTGAACTCAGGGATACTTGACCATTGCACCATATCCCCAGCCCTATTTTGTTGTTTTTTTTTKGGGGGGTGGGGGTGTATGTGGGGGACAGGGTCTCATTGAGTTTCTTAGTTTAGTGCCTTGCTTTTGCTGAGGCTGGCTTTGTATTTGTGATCCTCCTGCCTCCGCCTCCCAAGCTACTGGGATTATAGGCAAGTGCTATCGCGCCTGGCTTTGAATGTACTTTTTTTTTTWAATTTTTTAAAGATGTTGATTGATCTTTATTTTATTAATTTAATTATATGTGGTGCTGAGAATTGAACCCAGTCCTCGCACATGCTAGGCAAGCACTCTACCACTGAGCCACAACCCCAACCCTTGAATGTACTTTTAAAAGATGTATTTCATTAGTGAAATACTTAATGTGTACCTCTGAGTGTGGTTAAGCCACCAACTTGATACACAGATTGTTTGTTTGTTTTTATAGTTGTAGATGGACAGAATGCCTTTATTTTGTTTATTTTTATGTGGTGCTGAGGATGGAACCCAGTGCCTCACACATGCTAGGCAAATGCTCTGCCACTGATCTACAGCCCCAGTCCCTGGATTTTTTTTTTTTTTTGATAAGCATATTACCTTGATTTTTAATTTCTTATTAAAAATATACTTTTGTTTTCAGGGCACATATTCAGAGGTCTGATTTTCACTTCCGCTCCTCCCTCCCTTATTTCTTCCTTTAGATAATCATTTTACCCACTTTTGGTTTATCCTTCCATTATTTCTTTCTAAAATAGAAGCAAATGGATATGTATGTGGTTATTTCCACCCTTATACAGAAAATAATATACTGCATATCCTCGGGATACTTGTATGTTTGTGTGTGGGTGTATGTGTATAAGCACTTGAAAAATCTTTCCAGAAAACATTTTCTCTAGTTATCCATATATATCCTCTTGTCTCAGCCTTCCAAGTCTCTGGGATTATAGAGTGTGCCACCATGATATATAAGTGTGTGTGTGTGTGTGTGTGTGTGTGTGTGTGTGTGTGTGTATCCATGTATACACACACACACATATACTCATGCATACACTGGAGATCGCTTTCATGACATTATAAAGAGAGCTTCTTTATTCCCTGTTTGTATTTCCCTTATTCTTCTTTTTATTATATAGTACTATACATAGTACATTATATGGATTATGTATGGATGCACTGTAACATCAATTATGCCTGACATTTGAGATATTTCTAGTGTTTTGCTGTTGAAAATAGTGGTGCTTTCACAAATAGCTTGTAAGGGGTTTGTTTTGTTTTGTTTTTACCCTTTTCACAGGTTGTATTTAGGATTACTGGAAATATACAAAAACATATGTAAATTTTGTTATATAGTGTCAATTCCCCCTCTTTGAGGATTGTGCCTTTTTGTACTCCCACCAACTTCACTGACAAATACTTGGATTTTCTTAACCGCATTTAGTTAGTAGGTATCTGTAATTAGTTATATTCCTATTATAAAGATTTCAGTTGATTTTACTTTTTGGCTGTGCAATTCACATATTTTCTTGGTAAATTCTAAAAGATGAGATTATAAAGATAGAGATGTCATTATATAAATAGCTTCAAAAAGCATATATATGTATACATATTCAGAAATATTTGCATATGCATGTGTATCTTTTTTA